AAGTTTGCAGAGCTCAAGGAAAAGATCGACCGTCGCTCCGGCAAGAAACTTGAAGACAATCCAAAGTTCCTAAAATCTGGAGATGCTGCCATTGTTGACATGATTCCTGGCAAGCCCATGTGTGTGGAGAGCTTCTCTGAGTACCCACCTCTGGGTAAGTTACCTGCAATGCAGAGGAATCCCTGCATGCCGGTCCAGAATAAACGGTTGTGTTAATTTGTTATTTCTCTCAAATAATAGGGTATAAAATAAATAAAATCTGGCCTTTTTTCAATTTGGAGAAACTGAAAACACTCAACTCAACATCCACATATGATCAATAACGGACAAGCATGCTCGTGCTGGGTTGAAACAGCCAGAACGATTAATTTTATTGGTTCAACTTTTAGAATAAAATTCAAAGGGAACCACTATAAATCCAAACTGTGATGTACATGAGACCCTCTGGGCTGGTACTTAGTGGATAGTCTGTTGTGCTTAAAGGCTTTATATGCGATTTGTTGATCCAGCAGATGTCGCCCTTGAGCACCAGCATGAAACCACTCGCGGTGCATTGTTGTGTTAGCATGCTAATGCTAGCGATCTTTATTATGCTGGTATCTTCACACTGCATGTAAATTTACCTGAAATGAGCGTGATCTAGAAACACAGTTAAGCAGTGAGTACAGTATGTTATTCTTCTTTTCTCTAGTCCCTCAATTAAACAACTTTTATACACGAGGGGAGGAGTCAGCCGGCCGTCCCGGCGATGTAAACAAACTAAAGATAGGACTCTGAAAACTCTGAAAACATCACAGACAGTGGGACTCGGGTGTTACACCCATTGTAGACAGTCATGACTCACAGAGTTATTTTCAGAGGATATACTTGATTTCTATTACATTTAAGTGTGAAAAGTCACATATAAAGACTTTAAACTGGATGGCTTTGAGAAGCCATGATAGCTAAACATAAAAATCCAAGCCAATGTAAGTCTTTCTTGGAATTTATAACACCACCTATAAATATATATATATTTTTTATGAATGACAACAAATGTTTTGTCGATTATTCGTGTTTCAGGACGATTTGCGGTGCGCGACATGCGTCAGACAGTGGCAGTGGGAGTGATCAAAGGCGTGGAAAAGAAAGCCCCCTCCAGCGGTAAGGTCACCAAGTCTGCACAGAAGGCACAGAAGACCAAATGAACGTTGTGCTGGGCTGCTGCCCCGAGCACTCACCGTGGCCGAAGACACACCCTGCACCTTCTGCACACCCTCGTCAGCGTCTGGTCTATTATCACAATGCATCGCAAAAGCAGACGCAGGAAAACAATAACTAAGCACACTGTTAGTGATGAACGTCTTACCACTTGTAATGTGTAGGTTTTATTGTGTCACAGTTTGTGGTGAATCAACACAACACCTGTTCATTATCTCTCTCTGGTTGAGTGCTGTTGATCGTGAAAACAAACCTGCTTAGCACTTGTAGCAATAAGGATGTTCTTTTGTTGAAGTAAGGCTCTGTGTTGTAGCTTTAAAAAAAAAAGATGTGCTAACTAACTAGCCGGAGGGAGAACGGCTTCTTGCATGTTACCTGTTTGCACCCTAGAGAAACAAGCAAACCTGAAATCTTCATGCCTAGCACTCTGCTTGACCAAGACTTCAGCACTGTTAAATGTTCAAAGTCTGTCCATGCACCTTACTTGTTATTTGTGAGCACACGTACATAAAAGTTAAAAAATGTTGAAACTATATGTCTTTGTTTCTGGTATTATTGCCAAGTACCCAAATGTTTGACAAAAAAAAACAAAAAACTTCTTTGCAGAATTTCCTTTATTGATGAATGAGAATAATTCACTTGCATTTCATAACATTACAGGCTTCATAAATCTAACTGAGGTTATTACTAGTGTAAATATGTGCACATAATTTAAATAAATTAAACAAGACCCAATGTTAACATGTCAAAGGCCTGTTTTTATGCCCAGTTGCAAAAACGATTGCCTAATAAGAAAAAAGCCTCGTGTCAGATCGACATTAAGAAGATAAAAGAATGAAGACAGTGCAACCATTTGAGGTCAGATGAACCTAATGCACTTTTCAGGAAATTGTGATATGGAGACGATTATGTACCACAAGAGCAAGGCACCAATATAACTTATGTTCTACACCTGTTGTAGACTTCACATCAGAGATCCTGACGCAACAGTTTGAACCATAAATAGTGATTTGTCTTAGTGACATGGCATTCGTTCTTAGTAATTGGTAGGTTTGGATATGGCAACCTCTTCATGCAAAAGATGTTTAAATATCTTTAGAAAAATTAAAAATCAACTTCTTCAAAGCAAAAACGACCCCAAGCCTACTTCACATATATCATGATAATTAAAATGGGTCTTCAAAATGCATTGAGGTACTCGCAAGCTTACGCTGATTACTCGTGACTGGGGCTTCGGATGCTTTAGCTTTCCTCTCTGCACCACAGCTAGGGGAGCTACAGTCAAATTCTTTTAGAGGGTCTGCGAGAACAGCTGCCTGATCCCCTTTATCTGTACCATGCAACATGAATACATTCTGCAGCAAAGTCCACTTCAATGAAGGGAACATAATCCCACATTACATTTTATAAATTAAAAAAATTGACCACGATTTCAACAAGAAATGTTCCTGTCATTTAAAAAGAGAGCGGCAAAATGCCCAATGCAATGCAAAGGTAGATTTCTGAACCAAAACAAAAGTGCTTTACTAAAAACACATATTCTGACATCACATCACACTTAGAAATGACATTCAAGATGAGGTTCAATCCATGGCTAACATCACCTGGAAACACAGAGTTGCTCGTTCATTTTCTTTAGACGGTAACATAGATCCTTTCTTAGATAAACATGTCGCACATGGCTGGCTTTTTCTCCCCGAGTAAATCAGTTTTCTCACGCATACATGTGCGTATACAGACGTGTAGTATGTGGATATAAGTGCATCTTGTACTACAGATGACTGTGACATGTTCTCATCCACGTTTTCTTATTTCCGTGCTACACTCCTCAGCGAAGAGTTGGTATACCCTCCAATTCTGGATATTTTTGGAAAGGTAGTTACATTTTTGTTTTAAATATTTGGCAGTACGATATGCAAATCAGTTTGCGACTTTTTGTACTTGCTTGTGTCAGATAATGCACGTTATTTGAAGATTGACATTAATTGGCTGATATTAAAGCAGAACACAATGCCCTTTGTGATTTGGAAAAAGTTACATTTTTTTTATTCAGGCCCAAAAGTTCACTTAATTGGCTGCATTATTGGTGATCTGTAATTGGTAGTAAAAAAAAATTTCCTCTTGAATCATTGGTTTTCAAAGAATCCCACAAAGGTTCAGGGTCCCTTGTACCTGTTGGTCTTTGGATTTTTAATTTCTTGTATTCATTTTTGTTTAAAAATACAAACATTGGTCCACAAGGTTGTTAAACCAAGTCAGTTTCAAGGCCACTATTTTGGTCCCACCAAAATGTTTTATTTTTTATTTTTTAAGAGGTATCTTTGGGCTTTTTGTGCCTTTAATGGAGAGATATCAGACAGTGGATAGAGTTGGAAATCAGGGAGAGAGAGTGAGGTATGACATGCGGGGAAGGAGCCACAGGTGGGATTTGAACCTGGACCGTCCGCTTGGAGGACCACAACCTTCATACATGGATCGCGCGCACTAACCACTGCACCACCAGCGCCCCACTGAAAAATTTTAATTGAAATGAAATTGTGAGACAAAGCAGGTTGGCTAACCTACAGCTACATAATGTAAGTAATTAAATATCATGATATTTATTCTGGTACAATCTCTCTCTCTCTCTCTGTGCTTGGAAAGTTGTTTTTGCCTTGTATGTAAAGTAAGTGCCCGTTAATAATGTTAATAAGAGTCATTCCCTAAACTTGATGAAAAGACTCCCAAATCCACCCTGGACACGGCAAAAAATGTCTAAACACATGGTCATGAATCCCTATTAGTAAATTATGTTAATCATTTTTAAAAAATTGGTGGCAGACCATCTCCCCTGGTACAAACTCTTTTTTCAACCCTTTACAGAGAGGAGAGCAAGAGGCACTGCTTGTAAAAAGGCAGCAGGAGCTTCACATACACACATACATACACACAGGTGGGATCTGAACCCGGCCTGCATGAAGGAGCCTCCGTACATGGGATACAAAAATCCCCTCGTAATTCAAATAAAAATCCAATAACCAATCGTTTTTAATCCTTAAATCTTTTTCGCGAAACGAGAATCCAAAGACCAAAAGATAGCCTAACACGGACCATCCCATTTTGGGCAGTATGACATGTAACTCAGTCAGGTGGATCTTTCAAACTTGGTTTTTGAAGTGATCTGATAAACTCTGTTGGTAGTACAGTATAGACTTTTCAAAACTGTCTGCACAAAAATAGCACAACCTAAAAATGATCAGGTAACATGGCAAAAGAACCAGATTTCACTTTGAATGATTATTCAAATGAAACACTGTCTGCTAAATGAAGTGTTGAAAACTAATAGATGTGTAACTTCTTAATCAATATATATAAAGTGTCTGCATTAGCCAAAATACAAATTGACATGGAAAAGGTTAAGCATACAATACCTGCATTTGGGGGTTAAAACTTGCATATTAATTGTTATAGTACTTGTGTGTGTGTTCTTTTTTTAAAAAATATCATGGGATCCAAAGTCATTGGTAGAGGAAAGCAATTATTTATTTTATTCAGAATCTAAACTTCAAGAGGTTATCTGGTTTCTTTTAATGAAGAGAATGTGAAGAAAATTAAATTAAAATAGTGACTAGACTGGACGATGTAAAGTTTGGCTACAGTGAGGTAACATTCACTTCAGTGTAGAAGCCTGTCATGTGATTGGATTATTAAGACATGAACAATACCCAGCCGTGCTTTCACGTTTGGCCCAGCAGCCGCTCATAGTTTACAGATATGTGAACATGCATCCAGATTTTGTAGAGCTTTTGTTGTTTTGAGAAAAAACAGTGCTTGTCAAGAGAAAAGGGAATAGCCATTGACCAAAATGCAATCCTGGTAACCATTGGTTTTTAATTGACACCAATTTGCTTTTTATCAATCTCTATAGACAGATATCTTCATTTGAGTGCAGATTACAATGCGGTCGTTCAACTCCTGCAGCAATGTGTCTCGAGTTTACAGTCAGACTTATACAAGTGAAGGGGGAAAACGTCTCCATGTGGTATATTCACTATCAGTGTTTCAAAGCTACAGCAAAGGCCCTAACATATCTACCCTTGCCTCGAGAGGCTCAATGAGTACAGGGATTGACCTAAATCACCCAAAACTACCGCCATATAAATGAGCATTCTTTACAAGTCTTTGATGAAACTGTAGACAGGAAATCTTTGCACTACCAACATGTTCATTTAAGACTGAATTATGACTCTTTATTTCATATACGTTTTACATTTGTCAGACTTTCTTAATCCAAGCAAAGTTATTAAATAATCCATGATGTGATCAAAAAGGTAAAGTCAATCGATCAAGCATGGACTTGTAGCCGGGCCCATGGATGTGACACTCCTATGAACTCTTAATGAACCGCATAGCCTCTGTTGTGGAACTACAACGTTTTTTTGGGGGGTTTTTTTGCATAAAGGTAGGAGAAGCAACTCTTGTTGGACTTCATACATGCTGGTCTGGTATTCATGTCTTAATAATGCATTCTGACCACATTAACATATTTATGCCTGTTTTATCCACCCTGTGAATACACTCAAAGTCTCCATGCTGTTTCATTTTGTCATTTGCTTATCTTGCTTAACTCAGTACATTTGACTGAAAACATGCAATTCTCATGCTGCATCTCAAGGTCTTACACAACCAATCGTCTGTCAGGCCAGATTTGGTTGACAGTACTACTATGTGTCCATTATAGAAGCCTTCATCTTTCTTTTCCCGATTTGTCGATCATACTTGAAAACAAAGAATAACTCGTGCAATGATATGCCACATATGACCAACCTGTATGAAAATACTGTGATTTTTACCAAATGAATCAACATAAAAGAAAACAAAATGGACCCCTTGTTAAACACCAACCCTCCCCCTCCAAAAAGGATAAAATCGTCTTTGTGAGGTGAGATTTTCTGTGCCTTTTTCGGACTGTAGGCGAGTTTATTTTAGCCGTACGTGTGGCATGTTCAGCAATTCGGAGCTGCCAGTCGAGGGTGGAGAGGCATGGCCACTGGCCAGGCTACTGTTTGAGCCACGGGACCCTGCCCCTGATCTGCTCCCTGTCCTCTGGAGCTCCAAGGTAAAAGAGGGGGTCTCAGCAGCCCCCAGGGACAGAAAGTCAAATCCCTGTGTCTCTATCTCCCTGTCACTGATAAAGAGGTCCTCCTCACCCCATACAACGCCATCGCTTCTGCTTATATTACCACCACCACCACCACCACCCCCTCTTCCTCCTCCAGGGTCTTGGCTGCAGCTGTGGAAGCCAATGGGGGAATCACTACTTGTACTTGGGCTTGGAGATGACAGACTGTGGCTGTGGTGGGAGTCCTGGACAGTCCCGGGAGCTGCCTGCATCAGGTCCTGCACCGACATGGACTTGCCCAAGCCCCGGTCCATCTTGTAGGGGCCAGAGCAGCAGCCCAGGGACGGCGGCACCAGGGGCTGGCCACTTCGACTGGGAGGGGGCGGCGGTGGAAGTCTCGTCAGAAGAGGAAACCCTCCGTCGGCAACTCCTCCGCCGCTGCCACTGCTGATACTGTTTGGGGTGAGCAGCGGTGAAGAGCTACACACGGCCTCGTCGGTGCCACTTTCAGGTGTGGTGGCTTGAGCCTGGCTGTGATGAGGGCGAGGATAATGTGGATGATGATGGTGGTGGTGAGGATGTTGGTGAGGCAATGGCGATGGGCTAAACGAGGAGGATGCGAGGTTGGAGGGAGGCGTCGAGGAAGAGGCATTGAGATTGAGGTTGAGCTCGTTGGGCGGCGCTAGGATAAGATGGAGTCCTCCCTTGGAGAGTTGGGAGTTGGTGGAGGAGCGTGTGACGCAGCCCCCAGTGGGAGGCGCTCCGGTGCTGCTGCTGACCTGGGTGGAGCAGGACAGATCCTTGCCGAAGACGGGGGAGTGGTAGTCAGAGGTCTGCTCCAACTCAAACAGTGGCAGAGAGGAGAGAGTGAGGGCCGAAGATGAGCCTTTACGCAAAACCTGACGATAGATGTCGAGCAGGGAGTCGAGCTTTGACTCAATTGATTGGACCTGTGAGAAGAAAGAAAAAGAAGGAGTGAAGAGATAATAAAGTTTGAAAAGTTGGGAAATAGTGTCTCATATTCACTATTTGTAGAAGTTTGCAGGAAGCCCTCTAATCAAAAAACAAATCACATATATGTTATTTTAGGTGCTGTAAGTGTACTGGTTTCTGTTTGTAGTCCCCTGGCATTACAGCAGACTTAAGCTTGTCTGTACAGTAGGGGTAAAAATGTGTAGAGCAAAATAAGCAGAGCTCATCAGCCCTGAGTTATCCCTGAAATCATCGGCAGCCATCTGAAGATATTTCCACTTTTGACTCATCTCTATAAACGGTTATCTGCATGACAGTGCAACTAAAAATCTGCTCTGGGATGTGATCTCTTAAATCCAACTAAATTCTCACTTGTGAAGTTGCAAGTCAGACCATGGCAAAGTATGGCGAAGGAAGTCTTGGCCAGCAGGGCACACCTAATCCCAAAAAGATAGTCGTCTTCTAAACGGCTTTATTACTGTTAGACAATAGCTGGTCGGTTCTGAGAGAGGGCCCTAAAGGTCAACAGTTCATAACATTAGTTGCATGAAACAACATGGCAGGCTGTTAACACTACTGGAAGTCTCGACTTGATCATTTTGAATTCATTCAAGGGATGATTGATATTTTTTAATCCTCATCTTACAAACAGACTGAGCTAACGTCTTCAGACTGAGATTCTTGAGTATCAACCAAATAGAGAAACGTAATGGGATATAACATACGTATTGGCAACCATAAATTAGTACTTGGCATAGTTTTACTTTATTCCTTACTGGCTCAAGCTAAATGTTTGACTTAATTTCCAGTCATTATGCTAAGCTAGTCTTAACATGTCCCTGATATCAGATTTTAAAGTCTTAATATGTGATTTTTCTCACTTAAATATAATATAAATCAAGTATATCCTCTGAAAATAACTCTGTGAGTCATGACTGTCTACAATGGGTGTAACACCCGAGTCCCACTGTCTGTGATGCTTTCAGAGTTTTCAGAGTCCTATCTTCACTTTGTTTACATCGCCGGGACGGCCGGCTGACTCCTCCCCTCGTGTATAAAAGTTGTTTAATTGAGGGACTAGAGAAAAGAAGAATAACATACTGTACTCACTGCTTAACTGTGTTTCTAGATCACGCTCATTTCAGGTAAATTTACATGCAGTGTGACGATACGAGCATAATAAAGATAGCTAGCATTAGCATGCTAACACAACAATGCAGCACAAGTTGTTTTGGTTTCATGCTGGTGCTCAAGGGCGACATCTGCTGGATCAAAAAATCACATATAAAGCCTTTAAGAACAGGATGATAAGGTTTTGGTGGGCAGAAAAAAAAGGAGAAAAAACTCTTAAGATCACATTACATTTTTCCCTTTTATGATTTTTTTTAACAGTTTGCACAGATATCAATTTTTTTTTTTTTTTGTGAAAAAAAGCCTTTGGTGAAGGCTAATGTTTTGAAGTGTTGTTTTAGTATTCCTGTTGGCCAGAAGAGATGTGCACCACTACCCAATGTTTGAAATGAGACTAAAGCATTACTCCTTCAGCTCTGTTAATTCCTTCATGGACTCTAACCACTGGCTTTATTTTGTCTACACATGTATTTTTCTATTAGGAGAAGTTAGAAGAATGTATAGGTTAACTCATTTTCATAAATGCAGGAGGGGAAACAATTCTTACACTGATTGGTCTGACAAAACAGATGACAAGGTTTGTTTCTTATTTGCCTCTCAATGCCTCTGTAAATATCAACTGCAGGCTTTTGCACTCTGGAGGATTGGATCTGTTCCAGAAAACATATCCACACAAATATGTCGAGGAGATGCATACTGGTTCCCTGACACAGACATAACGAGATAAAAACACTGATATAAAAGAAATAAGAAAAGGAGCAGAACACAGACCTGCCTCTCCACTTTACAGACGCGACCCAACATGCTCATATCCTCTAAAATATCTCCATCAGACAGCAGCTTCTCTCGAATCTTCTTATCCAGAGGGATCTGGCCTCTCCCTAGGATTTGGTCCACTCTGCAAAACACACCCACACACACACACACACACAGCACAAGCATACGACATCACACACAAGCACATGCAAACACAAGTAGAAATTAATAGAAGGTAGAAGAGAAAAGGGACAAAGAAGAGATCAACGAGGCAGCCCACAGAAAGAAATGAAGCTTCAAACTGATTCGGAATAATAGATCACCACAAGTGTTTCAGCAAATTCAGGCAAACAAGAGGTTATCCTTTCTCACTGGATTTAGAAAAAATATTGGTTGGAGAAAACATTTTTTGTCAACTACGATATTATGTGACTAAAGTGTGTGAGTCAAACAATTCACAACAAAAAATCAGACTATCAAGAACATCGTACTGTTGTTATTATGTTCAATCCAGTGAGTTTCAGAAGATTTGTGTTAAAAAAAATCCAAAAGGGGAATTCCAGTATTCTTGTTTTAGATTATTTGTGGTCTTTATGACTTGTAGGTACAACAGATTGAAGATACAGGAATTGTTCCTGTAAAAAGCATTAGCAAAAGCATCAATATGCTTGTGGTGACTACTGATTTAATTCTTTTTGTACCTCCAGCATTTGATAACATCATCGGTTATGGTTGGAAAAAAATTGCAAGTCATCATTAAAAACATTTTTAAAAAGTTTGATACAGTTTCTCAATCCTATCTTGAGTATGTAACAGGCCTGTTAACAGTCTGTGATAGATACAGATCGAAGGGGAAGGATTTCTTTGTTGATTAAAAAAAAAACTCAAGTTACTGGAAGACATAGAACTTTGTGATTTTAGAATTTGGTTTGTATATGTGAAGATGGTTGAGTTACAGGGCTGTGTGTGTTAAAGAGCATATTTCTGAGTGATATGTAATCCAGCCTGATTTCAATAAAAATCCCAGAATCCACCAGATTTCTTTTCATAGACTGTATATAAGAAGTGGATAAAGTGAAAGCCAAGGCCAAAAGAAAAAGACGGATTGGGAAGCTCAGCCTTCTTCTTCCAAAAAGGAGCCCCCTATTGGTCGTTAGATAGAATGCAGGGTTTAAGGAGGTCCTTCATTGGCTCTACTTTTTTAAAACCCAGAGGAAGTAAACTTCTTGTATACAGTCTATGATTTGTCCTCAGATAAACACAGAACATGCCAAAACAAAAGTCAATATGTATTGAACAGTGTGTTAGTCATTGGTTAAGGATAATTTATACTAAGGAGAGAAGTGTGTTATAAAAGAGCAAACATGACAGACATGCGTGAAGCAAGGTTTCATTTCACTTTTAAGATCAGTGGTTTCAAAGAAGAAGCTATAATTTAACTTCCATGTACAATATTTGTTTTTGCAGAATTTTTAATACAAAATCTCTTCTTGAATCGACTGAGTAAAAAAAGCAAACTGAACCCTGTTATCATGTTAAAGACGCGGGGGCTATTCTGACCCCTGTGTGGAGTTCTTTCTGCCCTGGCTGTAATAAACAGGCAGGGAGGGGGCAGAAAAGGTCTTGGCTCTGCTGCTCAGGGTCTGTGGGCCTACTATCATGTCCAGCCTGTGAGGAAAGCAAAGGAAACACAGGCACGCAGAGGTACACGTGCATACACACACATAAATACAAAAATCACAAAATGCCAAGAACAACAGACGTTCAAAAAACACACAAATATACCCATACATGCATAAGGTATGGGTGCACACATACACACAAGGATACAGATGAGCTATAGTGTGGTCAAACAGCTCTTATAGTGAAAGCAACATATAAAGGATTCAAACTGTCAGCTGATTGTGATCATGCTCTGTGTTGTCATGCCTACCTGGTCTGCAGGCTCTTGATACGACACAGCATGTCGAGGTGACCGGCAGAGTACTGCTCGATCACATCTTTCACATCATAAGGACGTAGCGTCTCCTTAAACTTCTTCTTGGCCACATGGAACTTCATTATTCTGCACAAAGATATGCAAAAGTCAGCCACAGGGGGGAGCTCTCATACAAGACAATTTGCACGACTGTCACTAACATCCCTGAACCTGAGATGTTTTACAGATAGCATCTAATGAACACTTTATTTTTGTCATTTTCTTCTATGTCTTCTATTTGTGTGTAACTGCATGCATGACCTTTTCACACCGAAGCAGTTTGTGGCTGCTTACTTAAAGAGTGTGTGTAAAACTGAAGATGTCTTAATGTCCCCCTCCTGTAGAGTCACACTAAATTCAGGGCAAACTGGCAGAAAGTGAGAGCTCATGAGTCCTTGAGAAAAAAGGTAGAATCAAAGATTTGCAGCCTAAAGTGGAGGTGAAGCTACAGGCTTCTTTCACGCACACTCAGGTAGTCACTCAAAAACAAAGGAATAAAAGAGTTATCAGAGTATCTCAGGTCCTGTGTCATTATGCTGTCATGTTACGTTATTTGAGAAGACTTTGAAAAGACTCAATTCTGAAACGCTTTTAACATGTGAAGTTTATTTGAACCATTTTATGCAGACCTCAATCTTACTGCCTGTTGGAAATTAAATGAAGGAAAAATGTAGAAACAGAAGAGACTGTTTGCCACAGGTAGCCATGTGTGCATTGGTTTGCATTCTCTAATACTATTGAGGCCCAAACACTAGCTGGATTAGCATGATGACATGACGAAGCATTAAATCAATCCCAACCTCTAGCTTTCACTTGTTTACAGGAGCTAATCACACATAATAATAATAATAATACATTTGATTTGTAACGCACTTTACATTTTTGCAAAGAAAATCTCAAAGTGCGACAGAAAAAAATAAAATAGAAATAAAAAACAAATTTCATCAACTAAGCAACTAACGAAACTAAAAGAACAAGCAGAAGGCTTTGTTAAAAAAATGGGTTTTTAGGGCCCTTTTAAACACACTCATTCCTCACACCTTATCCACTATATAGGGAGTTAAATGTAGTGGACTATATAGTGCAATCAGACTGTGACGTCACTGCTGCCACACAACTAAAACTGGATCAATAATAGTGGTAACTAACAGCCTGATTTCCATTGATGACTTACATTATACTGAGTGTATTTCACAAAACATTTAAAATAATAAATCAATATAAAATATATCATTTTTAATATATAATGAAAACTCATTTATTTGTGCTTCCTGCTGTAATCCCGTGTCTGCATCAGGTTAGCATTTCAGGTTAAATGCTCCAAAATCTGAACTTTTCTGTGTTTCTGTGTTGGGTGTATGTGCTGATCACTCTTCTAGTCCGTCTTTGAGCAGCCAAACGCCACTCTACACTTGAAAAAGCTTTAAACTGCAATGCATGATGGTATATATATATATATATATATATATATATATATATAGCTTGGAAAGTGACCATAGCTTGGAAACTACTTTTCATAATGCATTGTGGGATACACTGATTGGACTATATAGGGTATGATAATGCTCACTTAGAAACATTCTGTATCCAATTACACAAACCAAAGATGATCTAAAAAATACTTCTGGTCATCTAAATTCCCCAAACACGACCAATCAGCAGAGGTATTAGTAGGCAGGGGGTTGTAATCAGGGTTTGTTTGCATGCAGCCTCGGCATAGAAAAACACAGGATTAGTTTGATTGAAAGAGGAAGTCTTATTATTGGCCTCACCTGACGGCTCTAATGACACACTTGACTGAGGGTAGCAGGTCCTCCACTGAGATCTCACAGTGACAGCCCTTATCATCAAAGCCATCCTCCCCGGCCATGTTGGATTCTGCTGTTGGGGACAGAGTGAACACAAATGAAGGACCATTTAGATATTGCTAAATCCAATGTGTTGCATCATTAATTTTCTCTCAATGACGTTTTTTCCCCCCCCTCAATACCTTTGTTTTACTGGCAAATTACAACCTCAGCTAAATCTCAGAAATATAGTTTTACTGTAGTTACTGTATTGCTACTTTTTTGACAAAAACTATCAATTGAATTTCTTCCTGAAGGTCACTATATGATGCAGTCGTAAGTGATTTGATAGAAAAATGAAAGCTACATTATTAGATTTCTATTTGGCAATTTTTTAGATTAGATTTCTAGTTTAGATTAATGAGTTTAAATATGGATACAATATTTTCAGTTTCAGTTTCAGTTTCAGTTTCTTCCTCCAGGCTGTCACTCTGAAGAACGCTCAATAGTCACACTGTGTCAGAACTGTGTCTGTGAAATTCTGGTAAATTTGAAACCAAAGAGGCACTGTGAATGTACATAAGATTATTTGAATTTATTTTAGGGTCAATAACTTAATCATGTAAATACTGTACTATTATTATCCTTATCTGATATCAATACATGACCACTCTTACAAAATACTGAGAAAAAGACTCTACCTCATGTAAATTAACCATCTTTTTACATAATTACATATTTTATTATCATGTTTATCTCAGCATATTTGCACTATACCCACCACTGACAAGAGCTCTATGTTTTTAAAGGGATCATCTCTGTATGTTATGTTGTTTTTTTAGGGTGGGCTGTGGCTCAGTTGAGTCGCCGCCTAGAGGGTCGGGGGTTCAGTCCCCAGCTGGGCAACATGTCTGATGTGTCCTTGGGCAAGACACTCAACCCCGAAGTGCTCCCTCTGCTGTGGTGTTGTATGAATGGGATTAGTTACTACTAATGGATGATACTACATAGCGATCACTACCATCAGTGTGTGAATGTGTAGGTGTGACATGCAGTGTAAAAGCGCTTTGAGCAGTCAGAAGACTAGAAAAGCGCTTTATAAACTCAAGTCCATTTAGCATTTTTTTTTTAAACAAACAAACAAACAAAAACAGAAAAAAAAACATTAGGTACATGACTCTCTTAAAGCTACCAGACTCCACTAAAGGTAATTCTACCACACAGAAGACATTAGTTTTATAGTTTTTATTATTTGTAACATGCATATTGACGTGGCTTCGCATTTCAATTTGAACAGGGTAACATAACAGCTGTTTTTGGTTAATCATTTATAAAGATCTACCTTAAACAAACTCCTACTATTTTTTTGTAAGAAACATTTCTGCAGTTTTGTCTGTCACTTTGAGTGAGCCTGAGCCTTTTTTATTTTTTATTTTTAAATCTATTTTGTGGTATCTATCTATTTTTTTGCACATTTAAGATTTTTCTTTTTTTTGTTTAAATTGTACTGTGTTCACTGTTTGTTTGCAACCTTTGCTCTTTGCTGCTGTAACAATATAAGTTTCCCCTTTGTGGGATAAATAAAAAATGGGACAGAACGACTCACCATCAGTGGTGGAGCGGGACTGGCTCTTAAGGCGGAGTGAGGGTCTGAAACGTGTGCGGTCGTTGAAGCTCCAGCTCTTCTGCACCTTCGCGGGGCTGGTGCTCTCTGTCCCAGTCTCAGCCACCGGCGAGCGCCTGTCGTTCACTGAGGACGTTTGCCTGTTCTTGATGCTTTGACCTCGGGGGCTCGCCAACCTCACCCGCTCCTTGAAGCTCAACTTCTGACTGTGCGGTGAAACAGGAAATGGAAAAGGAGGGAAGTTTGAGTGAGGAGAGGAAAAAGAAAAGAAGTGATGTCATGGGGTGGAATGACAGACAGAGACAGAGAAAGATATAATCAAGGTGAGTGAAGTTTAAAGGCAACTCCATAAATATTATTATAAGCTCAAATGCTGTTCATTTACAGTATCTTTTGGCATTCATCATTCAGAACTTTATTGGCCAATATAACAGTTAAGAGCTGCAGGGGGAGATGTAGAGAGGGAGCATGCATCATAGCATTGCAGCAGCTGCTTCACAAAAAAAATGCAAGCATAGGTTAGATATCATGTGTTGTTTGAGCCTTGTTGTATGTATGTAATCAGCTACATCATATTATTCTATGTGAATGAACAGTGATCGTGTGGTTGATTAGACATAATGTAATGTGATGATGTCAATGAAACATGTGCTGAAAGGGTGCGCTTTATAGGAGAAAGTGATGGAAAAATGATTGTGGGAAGTAAGGACAAATGAAAATGACATGTAGAAAAAGTAAAGGAGTGGCTGATTCTGAGTTTGTGCACTTATAGAGATAATAACATGCATGCAAAGGCAGCGCAAAAGCATCAGGCATGGCTCATTTAAAAGAGGATTTGACATGTTTGGTTATGAATAAAAGGGAAAGAGTTGTATCTTTATCTTAACTGTCAACAAATCAATTGAAGAGACCAAAACAGATGTACAGTACGTCTTACAGCTACAACTAATTATCATGTCAGTGATCTGATGCTTGTTTTAACCATACTATAATATACTCTTTTAAAAAAGAAGATCATCACAATTCTCAGGAGACAAAGTGTTCAACATTTCATTGAAAATTCTTTCCATATCAAAATATTTACCAATCATTTTCTTTATATTAATTAATTGAATAATTGTTGCATCACTAGTGTCTGTGTCTCTATGTCACTCTACAGTTCTGACCTTTAGTCCATCTAATCGGCTCCTTCTTCATTACTAAATATTAAAGTACAATGTACTAAATCATTATTTGTTTAAGAGGGCCAAGTTATTTCTCAGAAGTAGCAACAAAATAGGTGCAACTCTATTTTCAGGTGTGGATAAATAGGCTTCATGTTTAGATCAGGGATTTCAGAAATATGGTTTGTGACTCAAAATATGATGAGTGTGCTTATGGAAATGTAGGATTTTTTTAAAATTAATAAGCATTTTTCTTTTAATATTATGACAATATTAAAGGAAGAGGATTTCAGAGATGACCTACACTGTTAGATGATCTAGGGAGTTCCAACACTAGAAGCTCCTTGTGAAAATATAGTGATGGTCTAAGAAGTAAAAAAAGAAAAATAAATCTCTCTACTCTTAGGATAGAGCTATAACTTATCTTTCTCCAGATATTCTGCAGAGACCAGAAATTGTTCTAAACACTCTAAACAGATGCAGTCAAACCAGAGACACAACAGGCAGAAGTAGCGCATTGCTCAGGCAAAGATCAAACAAATGCAGACAGTGTTTTACTATAAATGAGACCGATGTCTCCCTGCAACACCTCTGCACCTGCTCTCTGCCGCCTACAGACCCATGCACCAAGAATTAGTCAGCATTCCCAAATAAAAGCGGCACGTAACCCGAACAGAAATGCTGTGTACCTATGTTTCCAAGTGGTACGCCTCCTCAGTAGCTTCTGTTTATTACTAAGAACTTTACTAAAGGAACCAAGAGGAGATAGACATACGGTGATGTGTTACATGATGCAGAACCAGAGGAGGGGAAATATTGACCTCTGAATGTAGTTAGGGGAAACATTGTGCTTATTTGACTTTCTTAACCCTTTTTAAACTGTACTTCTTACTCCCTGTTTTGTGTTTTATGTTTCAAATGACTTGACAAATTTCTTTTAATCCTGATTCCTTACTTCCTTGTACATGCAGATCAAAATATTTTATATTTTTGCTTGTTAAGATACCAGCTCTTATGATGTTTCATATTCTTACAATCTGTCCAACCTGAGCTAAAGGGTCATGTATGTCATAATAGTTCATAATAATTGAAGAAAGTATTCAAATTGTGCCATAAATCAAGAAAAAAATTTACTTTTTAAAAATCGATTTATGTTCATCAAACACAAAAAAAACCATATTGATCAAATGCAAATGTAGAAACAGGAACAGAGGTTATTTAAACTGAGCACATTTTGTTTATTTGATATATGCTTATTTTTCTGAGCACATTGTAAATGCAACAGAAATACAGTCCATGTGGCGCAGATGGCCAAGCGGTTAGGTAGTCCTCCCAAGCAGGCGGCCCGGGTTCAAGTGTGACCTCTGACATTCCCCACTCTCTCCCCTGATTTCTCTATCAACTGTCCTGTCCAAGTAAAGGCAAAAGCCCCAAAATAAATCTAAAAAGAAAAAGAAAAAAGTACATACATTTGCATATTATCAAATTGTGAAGTAATTTATTGAAGATCTTCAAGCAGTCCAGTTGCCTTTGGATCATGCTTCAAATTCACCATGATCTGGATAACTGAGAACCTACACAGACATAATTTATTGAAGATTTTTTAAGTGCTTCATACCATTAAAATCTACAGCATGTTATGTTATGTCCTAGCTTAAAATGCTCTTTGTATTCTATTTTAGATCCATTTAAACATGTTTTCCTGCGCTCTTATCTCGGCTGCACCCTGCTGTCAAGTTTCACACCACATGTGAAGTAACATGATGATGTCATTGAAAAACACACAACAAATAAAGGCTCTCACTATTGTTCTCTTGAATATAAGGATTCAAAGAGGATTATGCAAACAACAAGGTCAAATGTGCGACATGTAAATGTAATAATCCTCTGTGAAGCTGTACGCAGGCTATGAAGTACACAACAGTTTCTGTTGTGTACTTCAAACTGTCGACCACTGACATTTAGAAGCAGCAGAACAGAGGCCGTCGAGCTGAGGAGAGGAAAACGAACAACTGCAGCAGCATTTGAAAAAAAAGGCAGCAATTTGGTGACTCAGTACTTCATGTCGATATCCCTCATTTAACTGTGTGAATTCAGCTCGGCCATGGCAACAAGTGCCTGAGTCACCGGTGTGAAGCTGCCAACCTTTAGACAGACACTTGACAGTTCACAGAAGGGAATCATGATGTATATCCATTTCATCTGTTTCAGGATTTGTTTTTGTCCTGAAGCTTTACAGTACACTTCTATGATATGTTACCCTAAATAATAATAACCCTATGGATGACTTAAATTGAACTGAACACTGTAGCTGTAATCACCTCTGGCTCTGCAGTAAAGATGTGCATTTTGAAGTTCAGGGCTTGCAAAAAAAAAGCACACAGCACAGCCATAGGTTAAGGCTGCAGCTATTATCTGTAGTTGGTAAGAGGTGCTTCAGATTGTGTGGGATGAATTCTATCCTTGCAGGCAAGGCTGACTGCCGACATGTTCACCTGCTTCACTTTCTATTGCTACCTTTGCAATCTGGTAAACTAAACTAATAAAATATCACAACGTGGTGGTGGCATGCACAGTAATGTGTTATAGTTTCCAACGCAGCTGAAAAGTCAAGAAGAAGTTTAGTCATGATTAGGCTTGGTGACAGGTAATGTTTGGATTATTCAGATTTAGCATCGGGTTATTATTAAACTCAAATCATCAAATATCTGTACGTATGTGAAGTTAAGTAATGTTATGTACAGAATGTTTAAATATGGGATGAGATGTAAATATGTTTTTGTGTCCCATTGATTTCTCCACCAGTGTCATAATAAATGACCAGACTCTTAGATTTAAGTGTGACAGTGACATTGTTGCTTTGGTCAAGGCACAATAAATTTGCTAATTTCTGTAGAATCATGTTGCATCATTTGTGTATCACACCACTGATAAAAAGTGTGAAGAAACATGGACTCAGAGTTTCATAACTGCAAATACAATATCATCATACTATCCTCTTGTGATGATTTAAGAGAATGCCTTTAGGCTGTTGGTTCATTTTTACTGCTCTTATCAACCTCAAAGTGGAGCAAATTCTGATGAATCCACTTTGAAACCCCCCCCAAGTATTAAAGAACACACACATGTAAACTCAGCGTCAAACTTAAAAATAATATCAAGTAAAGAAAGATGTTTTTTTTTTTGGAGGAACACAAAGTAATCAGATATTATTTCTTAAGTACAAGTAGCTATACAGGACCAAAAAAAAAAGATTAGAATCGTTTAGTCATTCAAAGACAACTTTTAAAGTCCTGTTACTGAATGATTGAAGATGTGTGTTTAGTGAAAAAGAAAAGTCACAAACCTTGTGGTAGACTCTCCCTGCTCCTTCCTAGAGTCGACAGAGAAGAAGAAGAGACGAATGAGAAAGCACCCTTTCATGAAACTTCAGTTCAGTGTTTCATCAGTATCTCTGATTGTTTGAGTCCATTTACTGCTGATCACATTAAAGCTTGTTGAACTTGTTGCAGACCACTTTTGAATCCATTTCCCCATAACTCATCAAAAATAAAATGACTGTTGTGAAAATATGCAGTGCAGACATTTTAAATAAATTTGTATTGTAATTGAATTTACAATCAATATTTAGGACCGACAAGAATTAATTCAGATCACAGCGATTTTTGTACATATTTGGGTTCTACATTACATCAGCCAGCAGCTGCAAAATGGGCTGTGATTTAATGGCTACAGTAACATTATGGGCCAAATGTCTATGACAAACATGACCACTAAAAGTGCTTCTTTTTGCACTGCCTGGCTCAGATTGGCATTCTATTGGTTTGAAATATTAAAGAAGTAATCCATACAGATATTTCCCTTTTTGTTAATTATTCTCTTGAAAAAAAAACACCATTAACATTAATTTTTTACTTTGCAAAACAAGAGTTTCTGGTCTACCTTTGACTGCTTGGATATGTTTGTTTGTGTGACTTTGGTGTTCATTGGCTCAAAACATAATATTTAAGTAACCATCAAAATCCTAAAATACAACAACAAACAATCATTGGAGGCAAAGGTGCACAAAAAGCAACCTTTGTCTGTATGGATAAATCAACGTTTTAGTCAATGGAGCTGTTTTTGTTTTCTAAGTGTTTTTAAGAGAGTTAAAATCACCTTACTCTTAGACAAAAAGGTCATCCTCTATTCAACAAGAAATTTCCTTCCAAGAATAATGTTTCAGCCATTACAGACTGTTTTACGTTGTGTAAAGACATTTCTAAACTTTTTTGTTGCCTTACACGTCATTTGATACAAATACAGATGAAATAAAAGGTCCAGGTCTGGTAGCGTCAGTATTACCCTTTAAGGCCTTTGTCACCAGCTGTTTCAATAATAAAACAGTGTTTTAACGTATCCATTAATAACAAGCATTCCAGGGTAAATGGACTTAAACAAATAGAAACATGCAGGTCGATGCAGACTAACAAGGCAAACTAATGAAGCGCTTGCAACAAGATTTCTCTGAGTGACTGGAGATCTGTTCATTCTAACTGTAGGACTGTGCAGTATATGCTTACAGTGTATTTCAGATCTCTGACTCTCTGATTACTGACTTTCACACAAGTGGTGAGGTTTAACAAGCCAATATATGTGCTTAACTGGGGGATCAGCGCGATTTGTGTGTGTGTGTGTGTGTGTGTGTGTGTGTGGTGTGTGTGTGTGTGTGTGTGTGTGTGTGTGTGTGTGTGTGTGTGTGATAAGCTATCAGCAGCTCAGCTGGAAGTCTCTAAGAAAGAGGAGAATCAGAGAAACAAGCTTACCAGTGAACTACTTTATTTCTACCAGTTTAAGTGAGTGAATGGTTCAGGGCATCAGTCCACTGAGGGCTCTGTTTTAGGGGAGTGAAGTGCTGCAAATCAAAAATCCTGATCGGCTAATGGAGGCCCAAAATTGCCATCATGAATATAAATTCCTAAAAAGAGTGAATAATGAAATTGTCAAAATGACTGCAATGAAAGACCTTGAACCATTGAGCTGTCAAGTCAGTCTCAGTGTGGAGAGTAATGTTCCCTGAGATTATTACAGCAGGGGAAAAACTGTTTTTAACCTTTGTGTTTCTTTTGTTACTTCATGTGGAGAATAAAGGAGCGTGGAAATGTCATGTTGTTTGAATGGTTGTGATTCCATTTTTTATAAAAAAAGATGGACTTTATTACACTTATTAAAAAAAGCAAAATATTATAACAATAAGACAAAGGAGACATTTCGACTGAATTAAAGAAATAAAATGTACATTACTGAAATACAGGAAGATAAGAGTGGCAGAGTAACTGTATACAGCTACAGCTGCCATAGTTGTACCTACTTTGTAGGGCTGCAGGTATGCAATGCCTTCAAGTGAGGCTTCCAGGTAGCAATGGAAACCGAGTTCTCATCAGCCGCATAACTACGCCAAACACACTGCATGCAGAATACACAAAACCAGGAAGAGGAAAAGAAAGTATAAAGATGGTAACCCCCCATCCCAAAAATAAATAAACAAATTAATAAGGGAAGAATAAAAAAAAAGGTATAGTAGGGAGTCAGAAGGAAAATGAAGAAGAAGATGAGGAGAGTAAAAACAAAAAGGAAACAAATTGAAAACTCTGATTAGTGAAACCAAAAACATGTGTGTCACACGTCTGTGGCTGGCCGAAGGTCAGGCATAGATACATGCCTGTGGGGAGGCAGGAGGCTCTCATAGTGCCGCCACGTGGCGTCCAGGTACGGCCTGGCGCTGTCGGTGGAGTAATAACGCCACGCGGCCTGGTACAGTACAAAATGGAGGACGCACAGGATGAAGAAGAGGAGAAGACAGGAGGGAGTGCAGGTGAGGACACAAAGGAGACGGGGACATTAGAAAAGAAAAGGAGGGACGAAAGCAGTTGAGAGGAGGAGAGGAGAAAAGGGGAAGTGAACGTAGAAATAGACGAGGAGGACAGGGTGAGGAACACAATGTGGACATGTGTGACGTCAGGCTGGAAAGAAGGGAATGTGTGGAGCAGACAAGATATGCGGGGGTACGAATGACTTTTCTAAACTTTTTTCTAAATTTAAAATTTGTGGAAGAGGCCCAAAAAAAATCCTACAAATTAGAGCGCTAATCTGCAGAGGGAGGTTGAGGGGGGCACAGGGCGGGACACAGTGAAGCTAACAGGCTATGTGCTTCTTTTCAGGTAGATTCAGGGATTTAGAGTCCATGGAGGAGAAGGAGAAACTGGAGAATTATAAATTCATTAAAGGCTTTTTATTTAACCACTGTATATTAAGCAGACAATCACTTCATGTCTATGTTGAGGTTTATTGTTTGAACAAAAGCAAAGAATCAATAAAGTTTCTCATTTTGAAGCCCGAGCACGTCGAGAGAACAGACTGTTTGTCTTACCTGGATGAGGTAGGCTGCTGGGTTTCTCCGTTTCTCAAAGTGCTTCTGTCTGTGCTGCTCCTGGACCTTCAGGGCAAAACCTGAGCCCAGAATACCCTGGTAGGATATCAAGAGAAATAAATACTGGATGCATGTGTACACCAATGACTCTGGAGTATCATTGTGATGCTGAAGGCTGCTGCAACACTGAAGGGCTTCATTGTAACTCAAAGAAAACTGAAAAGGTATTTAATATGTTTATTATTTAGCAGGGAGGTTATGTAAGCCCTAAAGGCGACTGAGAAAATAAATTCTCAAAATTAATTTTTTTTGCTGTAATAAGCTTTTTTAAAAATTATTTTGTCGGGGGAATCTTGGAACTTTTTTAAAGTTTATTTCAGCTTCATATGTCATAACTGAGAAGACGCTATTCTAGCTGTGAGAAACACCAGTTAAAAAAGTAATACGGTACATACTATCCCATTTGATTATTTCATACAAAAACAACATATAGGGGGCGCTGGTGGCGCAGTGGTTAGTGCGCGCACCCCAGGTTTGAATCCAGTCTGTGGCTCCTTTCCTGCATGTCATTCCCCACTCTCTCTCTCCCTGATTTCCAACTCTATCCACTGTCCTATCTTTACATTAAAGGCACAGAAAGCCAAAAAATAAATCTAAAAAACAACAACATATAAAAATAAAAATCTGTGATTTAATGTGTTAGAATTAGAAACTTGCTTTACTGCATGTGAGCTTGCGTTGCTTTGGTTAAAGTGCTTCATATACTCAGTCATTTCAACCTACGTATCAAAAGTTCTGCACATTAGAAGTGCAGGGGAAGAAAGTAGTTAATATTCATTCTGCGTAGTCCTCACAGGTGTGTAACAACATTTTGTTAAACTTCATCTCTCTGCTCTTGAATTGTAGGCTAAATAACTTGGCATCAGCAAAACAGCGCTTCACACAGCGATGTGTCAGAATGACACTGAAACATCTGCTCGCTCTCTGACAATTAAAAAGAGAAAATGATTATATTACTAAAAATCAGACTTACAGCTGGCAAGGCAAAGAAGGAGATGCCCAGGAGAGCGAACCCTGCAGACAGCATCCGTCCTGTCCATGTCTTTGGTGTTTTGTCCCCGTAGCCAATAGTTGTCAGGGTGATCTGTGGAAAAAAAGATCTTGTTTTAAATACATTAATAATCCTCGTTTTAAATCAGTTTTATAAAGCTCCATCAGGGGTCACGACGAATACATTATAAATCAATAAAAGTAGTTAAGAGGGTTAATTTGATCAACCGGTTACAGATTTCAGAACTCAGTATTAATTTAACTTCAGTAAAAGTGTCTTCAGTGTGCAGAACTGCATTGAGTTGAGCCACATAGAGGCATGCTTTGAAAAGATGCCTTCAGGCTGTGCAATCTCATCTGGAGGATTAGACCTCTGTCAAGGCTTCACAGCAGCGAGTCTGTGGCCTTGGTTTGAAGCACATCGATGAAACAGCCAGTTTGGTAACATGATTTTTCTCTTTAGCCGCTGTGAAAACGGTGTTTAATGGAAGCTAATGTTTATGGAGGAGCTGTCAAAGTTCCGAGGCAATAAACAAACCAATGAAGACTCAGATTTTCATATTTAATGCAGGAGAGAAGAGGGAGCACTGCAGGCGTGCAGACAGGTGGAAATCTTTATCTGATGCAAAGAAGTGTAAGTTTGTGTTTTTCTGTTCCAAAGAAATGAGAAAACAGAATCCCAAAGAGCTACAGATTTTAAAGTCTAGGTGAAAGGAATAAAATATCAAGCAGTTCAATCATGGACATTATGATTTTTCTTTACCATAGACTGTTCATAAGAAATGGACGAAGCCCCTGTCACCTCAATTCATCATTGTGTGAACTAATGTTTTACTCCTCAGGGTGTCTTATAGTAACCTGTCAATCACAGGTATCCATGTTCTTATTCATGACCTACTTCATCATGTTTCATCCTCTATTACACCTTATTTACAAAATAAACATCATACTGTGGTGCAGAAGACCTTAGACAATTAGCAATTGATAGTATAGACATAGAATGAAGTAAAAGAACATTTTGAAGTATAAAGTAAGCTTTGAAGTAATAATAATAATAATAATAATAATAATAATAATAATAATGATAAACACACAAGGACACTGTACAGCAATCAACATTTGAAAATCAACGATGGATAAAATCAGCATACAATAAAATAAATTAAATGTAGGATTGTGTAATTACAGTTAAAATGTTAGAGTGACTAGGCGATCTTGAACAGATGGGTTTTGAGTCTGGGTTTGAAGATGGGGAGAGAGTCAATGTTAGAGTCAGAGTCATAAGTAGGTTTATGTTCATCTTCACAACCCACCATGTATACTTTTTGTTGAGTCTTTTGTAGCCCAAGGCACAGATTTACTGTATACCCCCCCTCCCCCCCCATCCCAAACTTACCGTGCCCCACCACAGGGCATCAGCGTAGGTGGCAAATTCCTTGTTGAACTTGTTTTCCACAAGGTAGACGAGGAAAGAAGAGAAGATAAGAACCAAAAATCCGATGTACCAGGCTGTTACAAGCTCCTGCAGAGAGAGGATAAAAGAAACTGTCAGACTGTAATCAAGAGAATTTCTTTTAATGCAAAACCACTTATTCACTGTGCATCAACCTTAATCTGCTTTTCTATAAAGATTGAGGACAAAATGTTCATGAAATAGACCAGGTGATGGAAATGGATTTAAGGGGTGACCTTATATTGAGTCTGTTTTAAATCTGCTTCAATCATCTTTTTTTGCCTACACTACAGGTGAAGTCCCTTTTGCTTTTTACTACTCACAGTGAGAGTTAAAGGTTACCAGACAAGCACTTCCCATAATTTTTCTTCTCATAAATGCCACCTGAAGCAGGTGTAGCACGAGATTCTGGTCCCAAAGCACATGTTAAAACATGAAATGTCAATAAGAACACGTATCCGGTTTTAGGCTGGGATCAGGACATTTTGTTGCGTAAAGCTTCAAGCTAAGGTCAGGATGAGGATTGGTTATTGATAGTATGTATTTTCATCGATTCATTCATCTTGATAATTTTGTGTATATATCTTTAAATTGTGTCAACCATCTCAGAGTAATTCTTCTTTTAGGTTTGTGAAGCTGTAATACATATGTGTTAGAGACCTGATAGAAGCAGAGTTATATTTGGATTGAAGTGTCTGTTGTGAGCAGAGAAGGAAATGTGACACTGAGACTAAATAAATGTATATGTCTGATATTTAAGAGTCAGTGTGATGTCTTCTTTCTAGCCTTTTAGAGATGAACCGAAGCAGCCAGGAATTTGTGGGCTGTACCTTCTAGAAGAATATAAGCAACAATGTGACTTTGCCAGTGATCGTCACTGATTGTGAGATCTTGGTCAATGTGTTGTGTTTCTGTGTTGTCTGACCATGGCTAAATAAATCTAAGATGATCCACAGTCTGTTTCATGATTTCATCATTGTTCATCTACTATAGAAATAACCGCCACCTAACAGTTATTTTCAAAAAGGAAGTCATTACAACAATGGAATGAGATAATACGGCATCAGGGCTTAAGTTCTGGAGAGTCCTTAAAACCCCAACATTTGGAACGATGCCTGACACAGAGTGTCATGTTCTCATCTTCAAACATCAATTCCTTTGAACACTTTCTGGATAAGGTAGTGAAACCATAACCTGGATGAAATTATATAGTTTTCAATGACCTTTGCTGACAAACCCTGCATGATGGATCTAACTCCTAATCAGTCTTTCCAATAGTGCTTACATAGCGTACTTTAAACAGAGACGGACCTTTTTGTAAAACATTAAGAGGCTTTTTAAAGTCAGCAGATATATTTTTTTCTCAAGCTTCACAAATTTGATCCAATTACTAGCGTCCATTTAAAGCTCCTGTGAGGACAGTTTTAGTTTGCGTAACTTTTTGTGCTCCCTGTTAAAACCATAAACTGTACACAACAGCTTTGTTGTGCAGATAATCTGGACGTTACACTGAAGGTCAAAAAGTTTCAACCTCATGTTTTGCAAAGCATCACCAAGAAGGTTCATCAGTTCCAAACTCACATTTTCTATGTAGCATGTGTATGTGTTTAACTACCATCTGTGATATCCCACCTTGCTGTGTGCGTAGACCACCGAGCCCAGCAGCTTCCAGGTTCCTCCTCTACGATCCATCCGCACCATGCGGAGGATCTGCAGGAAGCGAAGGCTCCGCAGGACTGAGGTGGCGAATATGTTGCCCTGGCTACCAGCTGACACCACGGCAACCGACGCTATCAGAACGATGATGTCTGGAACGCAGAGACACAGAAATCATCACTGACTTATATTCATAATCTCTGCACATAAAATACTGAAGGTGTTCTGCCCTTGATGTGTTTTATATGTTAAAGGACAAAGTTTCATTGTCGTTTGAATAAAAAGTTATTGTTCCTTTACTTTGAAATCTGTGAAGACACAGGAAGCAGGAAACAGAAAGTAGAAAGTGTGTAAACAGAGAAGGAACATGGTGGTGTCTGTAAGGGTTTCCATGTTGAATCCAAAGTCATCCTTGGTGTGAGTCCTTCAGAAAGCAATGGCTGTAAGTCAAACTTGTTGTTTACATGTTTGATAATCTATATTGATACATTTTATGTACATTTATTCTAAGTTTATAGGAGTTTAATGTAGATTTACACTCTACTATTGTTTCATAGCCAACTACTAAATGCAGCTTGTATTTTCTTTTCTAGTTTCACTCCGATTCATTGTCATCTTGTCTACTTTGAAGAAGTAATTAAATGAGCAAGCACGCTCACTTTATTTATGTTAACACTTGTGAAGTACAACACATAGAAAGAACAGTACAGAAGGTTTGCATGACTGTCATGTTTGATCATATTACAAACAATGAACCTCTACAGCTTCATGTAGATCTGAAGATCAAATCTATCTCCAGGAAACATTATGTACAAAGTTTCCTCAGAGTTATCTTGTACAGAATCAATATGATGCATCATATTTCGACTGGATCATTAGAAATGAACATCAGACAGTAAGTCAGTCAATTCAATCAGAACAGTGTTTCCTGATTCATTTCCTTTCTGAAGTGATAACCGGATCCAACCTCCATTTCACTGGGATGACGTTTTTGAAAAATCAAGACTGAAAGCCATAAATCTTTAATTTCATACTTTGACATTTATAAGCAATTTAACATCTTGTGTTTACTTTGAACAAGTTAAAACATAAATAATAAACTCAAAGAATATGATTAAAAGATGACAAAATGTCTTCTGTGTCCTCTTTACAAAACAACTGGTTATGAAAATGCCAAAAATTTGAACGTCTACTGCCCTCAACTTTAGCTGCTGTGGAACAATGTGATTGACATTTAGTTTAATAAGTCAGGAAACCGTTCTCCTTCAGACATCCTATAAGAGAGATGTTCATTTAAAAAGGTTATCATCACCACACAATCTGCTTTCCACCTTTGTTTTGTTTTCACTTCAAAGCATCACTTTTGCAGATCATAGTCAGCGTCCATTTGTTTACATCTGTTTCCCGATAAGATCCTGATGAGCTCATAAATATTTATTTATCGATCCTATGATCATTTAAACAGTGTCCTTCACCGTGTGATGTGCCTTCATTTATCCTGAAGTGTGTGCATGTTTCAGATTGGAGAGAGTGTTTGTGTAGTTTCTCGAATGCAGCACAATTATTTTTTTTCTTTTTTTTTTAAATCAGTTCGTATTTTAAAAACGTCTTTAATCTGAGCCGAGCCTTGAGCAGACAGGGAGCCAGTAAGGATTGGCAGGAGAGACGAGAAATATGCTATGTTTGTGTTTTCCAAATAAAATAAAACAAATAAACCTGCAGCTTCCTGGACCAGCTGCTAACATGAACATAAAGAGCTTTACAGTAGTCAAGTGAGGCTGACACAAAAGCATCTTACTAATATTTATTTCATTATGTCTTTCAATGATTGGCTAGATGGATCATCTCTGTCTCTGCTTTATGTTGCTGCAATAACCTCAACTCACTGTTGTCACTTCACTTTCAACAAAGGGATCCATTTTACTGACATAATGTGCCATGGGTGTCCGCTGTACAATAATGTCGACTTTACTCTCCTATCTACTCTTTGTGTTTGTATAAGCCTCCTGGCTCACACATCGATCTGCTAAACACACACACAGAACAGTGGGAAGAAGTTATTGGCTGGAGCACTGCACCGTGTGAAGGATATTTATTTCCACATGGTCGATGTGAAATAATCAAGATCTCTGGACTGTATGTCACTGAGATGCTAACAGTCTGCGGGTTTATCATTTACTTTCCAATGAGCACACTTAAGTGCTGCATGGCCAACTGTATTACTGTTTATGCCGCAAAATCATGACCGACACGTACACAGAATATCAACAAACAAAGGCACAGGCGGACGTTAAGACCGTCTGAAGGAAGTCGACACTGAAACCACACAAAACAAATGAATAACATTGAAACCCACAAAGTAACAAGCTACGTTGACTACATAAATAACAAGCGTTCTCCTCTTTCCCCCCCCCCTCACTCCTCGCTCAAACAGATCTTCACCTCAGTGACGCACCATGTGAAACTCTAGCCTTATTTAGTTCCCTCTGTGCAGGAGCTTTTCCCTCATAATTAACCACCACTCTCACTGCTGTCCTTCTGCCGAACCCACTTCTTTAAAAGAGAGAAAATGCTGACCAAGATGTTGCTAATGGCTCCTGTTCCCAACTATGGACCAGTTGACCCATACTGGGGAGGAGGGGGAGGAGGGTAAAAGTCAGCAGTGGCATGAAAAATACATAAATGACCCACAGCAGAGTAGAGCTTCTTCAAGAGTGGAGGAGGTCATCTTAGGGTCAAATAGATGTATCTACACCAGAGGTGTCAAGTAACGAAGTACAAATACTTTGTTACCTTACTTAAGTAGAAATTTTGGGTATCTATACTTTACTGGAGTGATTATTTTTCAGCTGACTTTTTACTTCTACTTCTTACATTTTCACACAATTATCTGTACTTTCTACTCCTTATATTTTAAAAATAGCTTCATTACTCCTATTTCATTTCGGCTTGTTTTCAGTCCATCTTGTCATCGTTCAAAAAAACACAAAAAAAATTAAAAACCTATCCAGATAAATCACGCCATCCGGATAGAGTGAATTTGATTGTGGTTGGATGAGAAGTATAAACAGATATCATTCCTACACACTGTGGCGCGGCCTAAGCTTGTGTCCTTAATGACATTTTTTCCCCTTACATTACTTTTACTTTTATACTTTAAGTAGTTTTGAAACCAGAACTTTAACACTTTTACTTGAGTAAAAAACTTGAGTTGATACTTCAACTTCTAAAGAAGTCTTTTTAAACCCTAGTCAATACTTTTCACACCTCTGATCTACACTCATATCATTTACTTGTTGAACTGCACTGTAAAAACAACTGTCAGCTGACTAAATGAAGTGGAAGCTGGGATATAATATTAATTTGTGTTGGGGGTTGCTGTTATAAGGGTACAGTACCTTCAGCTGTCTGATGGATTGAAAAAAATCAACAAGGTAATTGATAGGAAGTGAAGGCAGGCCTGGCTGAACAATGCACAGGTGTTTTCATTGATAAAGCATTTTCTGATTTACCTCCATTTTGATTTTTCAGTAGTTGTCAGCAAGTGTGCCTAATTTATAGTTAAAATGTGTCCAGGACATGCCGGATTTCGTTGATATTTGCATCTTTGGGGTTGTTGAAATAAATATTAAAGTGACCCTGTATTGATTGACTGACTGAAGTCTTTATTTCAACAAAAAGCTTAACAAAACAAATAAACCCACAAAATGATAGTGCAAAATACAACAGAAATGTGTAGGTACATGTTCGAAAAGGAGTGGGAAGAACTGTGAATTTATCTAATCCCACCCCCTCGCCATTAATCTTTAGTTAATCATTCAACATAGGCTTCCTTAAATGCTTCCACTATGACTCCACAGTCCGAATCAATGCACACAGCAGACATGAGACCTGCAGAGCTATTAAAAAACTGTGTGTTGTATTTAGCGGGCCTGTGAATGATTATTAATAGTGAACAACAGTCAAACTTCCCATGACACCAGTCTGCACATAGCCACACATGCATATTCCTTTCTCTTTGTCTCTTAATCTCCTCACTTCTTAGCATCATCACTCTTCTTTCTACCCCCCGTATCACATCCAGCCTCTCTTACTACTTTTTGTATTTCTCTATTCCCTCCGTGCCAACAACGGAGCAGTGACGATGGCAGCTCGCAGCACCCTGCCTGACCTCCGAGCCCTGCACTCCCTCCCACCGACATCCCGCTGTATTTGATCCCAACCCATGTCTAAACAGTGGAAAGAATAAAAGCACTTAATGCAACCTCATTACGTAAATGCTCTCTGCTCTTATGAGCCCTGACCACAGCTGAAAATGACACCAGCACACTCTGGTCAGTTAGCGTGCTGTGGTACTGTGCTGACGCCGTAAAGACATGAAACAGTGTTTACAGAGAGGACCGACCACTAGAGGGCGAGAAGAAGAGAGGTCAAAAACTTAGAAGAGAGGAAAGACTGTTTGGTTAATCTTTTTTTTTTATGATTTAAGAACAGATTTAAAAAAGTCAGTATCATCTTTCTAATTTTCTTTATCATTTATAAAGAAATTTATACATACAAGATTGTAAAGATTATTTTACTATCATACTGTTTTTGTCTAAGAAAACAGATGAATAAAAACTGTTTGCAGGTTTGATTTTATAGTGTTTGTTGTGGTAATACTGATTTTGGCCACAGGAGGCAAAGGTTTACCAAACAGGCATTTCAAAAAGGTGAGTTGATTTGAGTTGTTTGTATGGGGGCTCTAAAATTTTAATGACAACATTTTTAGTACCGTTGCAGACCAAAGAGAAACTCTAGGTCAGTAAAGATGGTGAAATTTCTAAATTAAATGCAACATAAAAAGAAAAATGTATTTCATTGGTTTTTCATAATTGAACATTTCTTTTAGATAAGTCCAAAAAAATATTTTTTTCCATACAGCTATTCTTTTCACCAGTTTCAAATGAGAGGAGTCTTAAGGAACCTAAATGATTACTTTGGCAAAAACTATTTCCCACCTGTTGTTAAGCCACACACGCAGAAGAGAAAACAATGCAGCATCATCTCAGAAAGAAAAATGTATCAGCAAATGTCTGTTTCTCGCAGGCCTCATGGGGTTCTCCCTTAGTATTAAAGAGACTCGTCAAATAGGTGACGACTCACCTATGACGCAAAAAGGCTTCCGGGCAAAGCGGAGGCGTCCTTGCCACCCTCTGTAGCGACAGCAGCATCCTGCCGACCAGATACGGACGATGTACTCCAACCCAAACACCACAATCATCACAAACTCCTGTCCAAACACACACAGAGACAGAAGTGATTTGAACAGAGACATTATACATTATTTATCACATATACATCCTCACACTTAATTATACATTATAAATGCAGTTACTAAGTCATTAAAATGGAGAGTTAATTATGTTTCTGTATCTAATAATGTCTATATTTAGTTGCAAGTACATCAAAATTGTGTTTTTCCCGCAGGTTCCTTCATGCAGAAATGACTAAACTGATTAAAACCCTCTCCTTAGATGTTGGGTCTTAAAGGTCCTTTAACAACTTCAGTTTCTTTAAATTCTATTTTCTATTGTGATTACATCACATGAGTACATTTCCAATGATGTGTAACCATAGAAACATTTTATCATATTCAAGATGAGTGATCAAATTAATGAAGAGAACTAGATTTTTTTCCTTTTCTAACATCTGATTTAAAGGAACACAGCACTGATTACAAATCTATATATGATATTAGATTTGACCTCAGCTGTCTGTTATCAACAGCTGATAACACTAAAACTGATTGCAAACAGTGTACAATTAATATAATAATAACAATTGTAAAAATAAATAATAAAAAAAATTCCAAAGTGGATAAACAGATATTTTTTGCACACACACAGGCACAAACACGTAATATGTATATCAGTTAAAAGCATGCACAATATTTGTACAAATATTACTTTACAGTACTTGAGAGTAAGTGTGATTTCTCTCTTTATGCAATCTCACCGACTACAAAGAAATAAGAAAGAAATGCAGAGCAAATGAAACTTTATCTTACAATAATATTTATATGTTGCAAATGTACTGCAAGGAGAAAAAGAGGATTTTCTGGCACAAACTTCACCAACTTGCAAGGTGCATGAAGAGTTAAAGGCTTAGAAGAGGTCAAAATGCTCCAGCAACACTTGTAGTAAGAAGATCAACTTTATTAAAAATTTAGACCGACGCATTTCGGCTCGTGGCCTTCATCAAGAAACAGATTAACAAACATAATTTAAATAGGGTGGGTACACAATTGAAGGAAAGGTAAAAAAAAAAATTCAAAAAGGTATGGACAACCAATCAAATGCCTCCACATATATGTTTATCAGCCAATAGGGCACATGCAGGTTGCTGCTGGTTTGTTGGCCAGGTAACATGGAGGTGAGGGGCGTGTCTAACAACAACAAGGCTGACATCACAATTGGTCAACAGGTAGGGATCAAGGGGATAGTTAAAGGGAGGGGGTTAAAAGCCTGCACAAGAGTCATTTAGAATTCTTCTAATAAAAAGAGTAAGAGGTGAAGAACAGCCTCTTTAGTGTTCTTTGCATTTGATTGGTTGTCCCTACCTAATTTTTTTTACCTTTCCTTCAAATGTACTGCAGGGGACATTTTGCAGAAGTCAACAGAAGTCAGTTTTGTGTTAAAAGTTTAAACTGTTCTTCTTCTGTCCCATGCCTTTGGAGATACATTGTTAAAGTCAATTCATGAGCTGGCTGTGGGTTTGCAATTTGCAAAGGGCATAAAGTGAAAGGTAGGGGAAGTAAGTCGTAGTGAAAAAGGTTTCACTAATGAAAAGTGCACGTATTGCTGTTCTGATGAATGTCGCTTTGGATAAAAGCGTCTGCTAACTGAATTGTAGAATTGTAGAATTGTAGGATGTGTTATGACGTTTTGGCTGATTGTTGCTGAGTTTCTTACCAGGATGAGGAGACAGTAGGAGGAGAAGTCCTGATGAGCGGGGATAGTGGAGAACACAGAGAGGACCAGGCAGCTGAAGACCAGGACGAACCTACATAAGAGAAACAAAGAACAGAGTCAGAAACACAAGCACAATTAGAATCAGACTGAATGACATGGTGGAAAAAAGCTGAAACCACCACAATGACCATCAGATAAAAATCTCAATTTCCACTCCTCACAAATATGCTCTTCATCAGAACTGTCTGCTGCATTTTCCTCTGTGACAAACTCTTGAACTCAGATTTGGCATCACGGGAGGACCAGTACACGCACAACCTGGCAGCACAATCACAGAACTTATTTCCTCTGTGCAGCGAACCATGAGCCACACTATTATTCAATTTCCTCAGATATCAAGTTAATCATGCTTGTTTGTGTAACATCATTTGCGAGAAACAAGCAGTGAAGCTGCCTCTGTTGGAAAACAAGCAAACATCTGACTGTTTCCACACTCTTGACTGTTGCTCCCTCGCCAGGAAACCGTATCTTCATAACCATAACATGTTTTTTTTCCATCACGTGAAGGCATCAGGCCCCTGACGCTGAACGCTGAGAGCAACATCTGTTTTTTATCAGCGCAGATCTCCTCTTAAGCCTGCCCTGTGTACCATCTTTTTTTAAAGTTGTCCAATGAGAGACTTATAAGCAGACAGTTTATTTAAAGTCGTGTCCGGCTTCATGTTTGCACAGGTGCACATTCATCATTTATGGAGACCTTTTGCTGGGCTCTGACCTTTAGGCCTTTTAACTTGTGATACCTGAAACTTCAAAAAGAAGAGACTTCAATCTCAGGTTAGTGTTTTTTTTTCACTGAAGAGTGAGCAGGTAGTGTACAGTAAGTTTAATAAAGAGCTTTTCACTGAAAACAGCTGCCTAATACCGTTAAAACAACATTATAAGAGGTATGACATTAATCCAGAACAGCTAAATATTCATCTAAAAGTATGACGAGGGCTACAGATTCAGCTGAGCGTTCTTCTTTTTACCCGTTCCAAAGCAATGTATTGTTACAACGACGACGTTTCATTCAAAGTTGTCATAGAAACATTGATAAAAGCAGCATTACAGTTACAGCTTACAGTTTCCCAACTTATGTTGGGAGTTCTTGTCCTTTAAAGTCTTTACATGTGATTTTTCACTCTTAAATGTAATATAAATCAAGTATCTCCTCTGAAAATAACTCTGTGAGTCATGACTGTCTACAATGGGTGTAACACCCGAGTCCCACTGTCTGTGATGTTTTCAGAGTTTTCAGAGTCCTATCTTCACTTTGTTTACATCGTTGGGACGGCCGGCTGACTCCTCCCCTCGTGTATAAAAGTTGTTTAATTGAGGGACTAGAGAAAAGAAGAATAACATACTGTACTCACTGCTTAACTGTGTTTCTAGATCACGCTCATTTCAGGTAAATTTACATGCAGTGTGAAGATACCAGCATAATAAAGATCGCTAGCATTAGCATGCTAACACAACAATGCAGCGCGAGTTGTTTTGGTTTCATGCTGGTGCTCAAGGGCGACATCTGCTGGATCAAAAAAATATATATATATAAAGCCTTTAAACATAGGCCCTATGTCTGCATACTTTGGTGTCTAAAAAACACAAGGGGTAAATGATTTATTTGGAGTCGCCCCTGTAGTTTGCGCTCAGCGTCCAGAGCAGAGCAAGCTTTAACAGTGACAACGTAATCTCCCATTGGTATGCTAAGTGTTTGACGACAGTGAAAAAAAGGATCCCTGCAGAGAAAGACCATTTTATTAAAGAGTAAGGTACTTATCTGAAACCAAAAACACCCATACAGTAACTTCCTACACTATGGGAGTTGCTGGTTTACCACCCGAATCGACTGGTAAATTAGCTTGTCATGTTGTGTGACTGTTCAAAGGGCTGAGCTTGGATCCCACACAACTACAAAAAACCAAACACATTTGAGGAAGCTGGCAGCTGCTAGTTGCTAGTTTTAAAACATGTTCTTGGCTTTAGATTAACAAGCTTGGCAAGGGGCCAGGTTTTTTTTCAACACTGAAATGACTCTTAATCCCAGTCAGTGATTTGTATCTAAAATCAGGGTGCAGGAAATGTGCAGCTACGCTATCAGAAATACAGCAGAGGAAGGAAGAGGAAGACATTAACTCATGAATCTGTTTAGATCACACTCAAACAGAGTTATTGGGCTGACACAAATGTATCTCCTCTAAAAAAACAAAAAAACAGCCAGCTGTTAGGATCTTTCTGATTACATCATGACACAACAATGGAGCATGAACCTCTTCTTCTTTGTTTGTCTTTTAATGTTTTTGTCTGATAAAGTGTGTATGAGTGCCACATGGAGTTTTTTAACAGACTGCAACAATGAAGACACCAATAAACAGGAGGATAAGTTTGATGGCTTGACTAGAAGACATGGGAGGCAAGTAAAGCTTCAAAATAAGACAGAAATGTTGAGAATTCAAAACATAATATTCCCAGTATATCAGTGTATGTATGAATAGACTAACAATGCAAAATGAGCTGTTTACCATCAGTCTCTTGCCATTTAAAGGAGACTGAGCATTTTTATAATATGTCTATACTTGATGGATTCTTTTGCAACATCAAGTGCCAACAGGTAGAACTGTGGCAGGGATATTTATTTCAATTCTTGTATAAAAAAAAATCACAAAAGATGAAGAATTAAAAACAATTCAGGAAAAAAAAAAGAAAACCATAGGACCATACAAAACCGTGCTCACAATAGCAAACACAGAGACAACATCCAAAATAGTGTAGGCTATTCAGGACTGAGTTTTTATTTTTTACTGGTTATCTTAAATGTTATCTTAAATTTGCCTGACATAATTCTTCTCCCAAAACTGTCATCATTGCCAAAATGGCATCTGCTCTACCCATAATACAGTTTTTTCTAAATTCACAGCTGAATGGATAATAGACTGGGGACTCCTTCCTGTCAGCCCCTTTGTGCCAAATTGACCTCATGTTATCACAGAGCTGAAAGCAAGTCCTTCAAGCTTGAAGATCACGGGTCTATCGTGGCCTGTGTGAAAATGGTGGGTGTGCAGAGGGGGTCAAGGTCCCATAGCCTTTATGACAGTGCAGGACTGTGCTATTCCGACGCCAGTTGGGCCCTCTTTGACATCCTAAAAGTCAATGTTGAGGTCAAAACTTTCCACAAGCCATTAAAGAGGGTTATGTCATTGCATCTCGACGCATACGTTCTCTTCCTGCTCGCGTGGCTCACAGAGCTGCTGGAGGCTCAGAGGAAAGTTAGAGCGTAAAGTATCAAATGTAGATGAGATTTTTTCTCTGTTGATATTTCCAAAAATTTGAATAATAGGGTTTTGCTTGGAAGAAAATATCGAGTGACAAGTATTGTATAGCTGTCAGCCGAAAAAAGCAAACTCCCCGTCCCCCGGCACACCTACGCCTCTCGCACTTACAAGGTTGTCAGACTGAAAATCACACAGTGACAATCGACTCTCCTCATCTGTAGAAAAAACTCTCTTTTCTGTTTTGAATATATTTGACTTTAGTGGGAGTATGGATCAACTGAAGAGCACGCGGCCAGCGTCATTATCTCTCAATGAAGTTCACTAATGAATCACACAAACTAGTGTCTAAGCCTGCCTTAGAGCCTGTGGGTCATGATGCCCTGTTCTCACAAGAGGTGGAATTAATCTGGAGTGTAGCTTTCCTGCAGAAGGATCGCTCTTCACCTTTATAAGAGCTGCAGCGACAAAAATTAAGCCGTCTTACACACATATACACACACATCCACAAACTCAAAAAAATACTATAAAATAGAGACGTCTGTACCTCCACCCTCACACACATCGCACCCTAAACCCCTTTAGAAAAAAAACAGCTAAATGAGTGCGAGGTAATTAGCTATGCTTTCCATAATGTTCATAATTAATTTGTCAGGAAATGAGTTGCAACATGACTGATGTTTACAACCTGCAACTGGGGTATAAAAATAGATCTATGACGATAGATCTACATAACGACCCCCCTGCAGAAGAACAAAGTGCTGTCCTATCTGGTGATCATGGTCACTCTTAACTCTGCTTTTTCAGAAGCCAAAAAAAGAAAGGTGCAATATATTTAAAAATAGACACAAACAGGAGTTGCAAAAACAAAAAGTTACAAGAAGCAAAATATACAAATCAGACACAAAGAGATGAAACGTAGTTACCGAAAGACACAAAACTACTTAAAAGAGATGCAAGTAATACAAATACAAATACTTTCACACTTGCAGAAATCTCCTGATAAACTTAGGGTATTTCCCCGGAGGAGCTGTATATGTGAACGCAAACAGCCACATTTTTTGTGGAAGGTCGAGGGTTCGATCCCCAGCTGGGCAACATGCCCGATGTGTCCTTGGGCAAGACACTTAACCCTGCGTTGCTCCCATTGCTTCGGTGGTGGTGTATGAATGGATTAGTGTTGTACTTACTCTCTGATGTACGTCACTTTGGATTAAAAGCGTCTGCTAAGTGAATTGAATTGAGATAAAAAACAACCACATGGACATGAAAAATAACCACATTAAGATTTAAAGCAACAAGAAGAGATACCAAAAAATCATAAAAAAGTAGCAAACAACTACAAAGTGATTCAAAACAAACACCAATAGGCACAAAATCTCTGCAGATATGTGAACACACAGAGATTCTTTCCAAGCAGAACTACGAAGAAACACAGCCATCACATGACACAAGTGAAGACTACAAACAAGAAGAAGATGCAAAAAAAACTTCAAAATCTACCAAAGGGAGATTTCAATCTGGTAAAAGAGACACAATAATGCAAAGTGACAATCTGACCACAAAGAAACTCAGATACGTCAACCGACTGCAGTGATGCAAAGTGGCCTGAATGACTTCAAAGGGATAGCAAGAGTTACCCCCCCCCCACCCCCTACTCAGTTCTGTTGATTTCTGGTCTTCTCTCAGGGCACACTAAAAGATTTATAATCCTGCAATGATCACATGGGACTGGGTTTCTAATGAGAAGAAGCTCTCACTCACAGGACATGTAGACATGTCC